CAAGTATACCACCAGCCTAACCCGCAGTCGTTCCCCACCGCGTCAGCGGCGAGCAATGCGCTTGCAAACCCCTTCAGCTACACGTCCAACCATCAGTCGACCACCAACGGGCTTTCGCTAGCATCCACGCCCAAAACGACCGCTCCAGTGCCTTCCATGGCCTCCTACAGCACGCCCACAGTCCTCCCGACTGCCCACAGTCGGCGGAAACAGCCGGACTGGGGAGAGTTTTATAAGAATGGCGTCCCCAAGGAGATAATTGTTATTGACGACGACGATGATGATAATACAAACAACGATCCTGTGCCCGTCTCTGCTTCGGCGGTGACCTCATCCACTAGAACTGCACCCCGTGTTGCCCCTTCTGCTTCTTCTTCCAACCTGCCGGCAAACAAGAAACGAAGGACTGACGCCAGTTCAGGCGTCGACGTCTACTACGAACGCCCTGCCTACTCTGCCTCCTCCCAAAAGTACGGCGAGGGCTCGTCTGCGGCGCCTTCAATGTCAACCGACCGCACCGCCTCTATTCATACTACCGCTCCCACCTCACTTGGCTCGCAGGCTAGCGGTTCTGCAGCCAACAACGCCTACCTTGACGATGTCGCTGTCGGCCAGAAGCGGAAGCGAGTCGTGACACGTAAGGCTGCACGTGATGAATTGAAACGAAGAGAACTCGAGACCGTCGGCGATGCGTTCAGCAGCTATATTCCTCCTCCAAAGCCGCCCATCAAGGCCAAAGATGTCGTTGTCCCCGTCATCCGTGATGTATGATCCCCCTTCCCCATCCTAGCCTGCATCATCGCATACCACATCAAAAACCATTACTAATACCTTTTGGATAGTACAACGCGAATAAAAACCAGAAGATCGACGATGAAGATGGGCATTACATCGTCAACCCGGACACCAATCTCACCGACAAATGTACGTCTCCCCGTTGATGCCCCTAGTCATTTTTTTTTTTGCAGAACTAACAGTTCATTCCCCCCGGCTAGACTCAATTATTCGCCTTTTGGGCCAAGGGACATTTGGCAAGGTCGTGGAGGCATATGATAGACAAAGAAAGACTCGCTGTGCAGTGAAGATCATCAGATCGGTCCAGAAATACCGCGATGCCTCTCGGATCGAACTTCGAGTCCTCTCAACTCTCGCATCCAACGACGAGACTAATAGAAACCGGTGTATCCATCTTCGGGACTGTTTCGATTTCAGAAACCACATCTGCATCGTCACCGACTTGCTGGGCCAGAGCGTGTTTGATTTCCTAAAAGCAAACTCCTTCGTCCCATTCCCGAGCAGCCAGATCCAAAACTTCGCTAGACAACTCTTCACCAGCGTTGCCTGTAAGTGAAATCACCGTACGCACCGCCTAGATACACCTTTACTGACTCACCCTAGTTCTACACGATGTCAACCTTATACACACCGATTTGAAACCTGAAAATATTCTTCTCGTCAGCAATGCTTACCAGACGTTTACATATAACCGAACCATCCCATCTTCCTCTCACACAACCTCGAGGACCGCTCGGCAACGACGTGTCCTGCTCGACAGCGAGATTCGTCTAATAGACTTCGGGTCTGCGACTTTCGACGATGAATACCATTCCTCCGTGGTTTCGACTCGGCATTATCGTGCCCCTGAGATTATTCTCAATCTTGGATGGAGCTTCCCCTGCGATATCTGGAGTATAGGCTGTATCTTGGTCGAGTTCTTCACCGGAGATGCCCTCTTCCAGACACACGACAACCTCGAGCACCTCGCCATGATGGAGAGCGTTTGTGGTGGTAAAATAGACCCAAAACTCGTCAGACAAGTTCTACAAGGTCGTAATGGACACGGTGCCAATTCTGCTGCTAAGTATGTCGACCGCCTCTCCTCTGCCTAGAAAAATTTTTATACTAATTATAACTCTTCTAGATATTTCAACCGCACCAAACTTGACTATCCAAATGAAGATACCTCCAGAGCGTCAAGAAAATACGTAAAAGCAATGAAACAACTTCACGTAAGTTTGCAGCAAGTTGCTCGGGTTCTACTCACTAGATGATCACGCTAACAAACAGCCTGATAGGAATTTATTCCTGCAACAACTTCCTTTAACAAACAATTCCTTGACCTGCTTCGCCGCATCTTCGTCTATGATCCCAAAGTTCGCATTACTGCCAAAGAGGCCCTCAAGCACCCATGGTTCAAGGATACTATCATCGATGATGGTACCGAGGCAGTCCGTATCCGCCAGGAGCAACAGCGTGGGGCCTGAGATTGTCTCATAAATCTCACCACTGCTTACACCGTTCCGCCTACCTATCTCTCTCAAACATATCAATGTTCATTTTTTACTCTTTATTACTAAATTTTTTTACCCTCTTATTCCTCGGAGCATTTGCCCATATAATTCTCGTGCCGGCTGATACCATATATTCCTCCCTCTAAATGCCAGACACTTACTCTCTCCTTCTTTCTCTCATTTTTTGGAAGGCGACTGTGTCAACGAACTGTTATATCAGTTTAACGTCAGTGGCCTCTCTCTTCCACCTACTTAACCTTTGTCTTCTTGTTTATTACTTTTTATGTCACCTTAGACGCTATTTTTTGACTTTTCTTTTCCTTCCCCCCTCTCCACCTCTGTCGTACTTTTTTTGTTGTTACTGTTGTTTTTGTGTCAATTTCCTTGATGATTCGGCGATGTTTGGTGCTCTTACATCTACGCCAAATACTCTTTGTCCTTTCACGATCCGGGAAATATGACCGCTCTCCCTTTGGCGTTTATATTAGCTAGGTATGATGGGTGGTACGGGGAACGGGAGAGAGATACGAGGGCTGCGGTGGAGGACTTCAGTTTCCTTGTTTGAGGTGGGATTAATGAAGACGACGTTACTTTCATATTTTAAATATCTCCTTTTTTTGATTAAAAAAGAGTATATCTAACTATATATGCCGTGCCTTGTTACGGGCACGTTATGCAAATACTGCGGCTGCCGAGTCCCATGGTGTCCCTTTTTCATATTAGAGACTTTAACCTGTGAGCGTCTTTTACCACAATTTCCTAGACGCGGTATTAGGGTTGTCTGGTATAATGAGGTATATCTTCGTCGATAGTTACAAGTAAGTCTGATTATACTTTATGCAAGAACGGAAGACCTGATAATCATAATGCTACGAGTTGAGTTTACGATCCACAACTTATAAGATGTGATGAGGTTTATCAAAGAACTCAAAGAGTGATGTGCACATCGGTAGATTGAATTTGACGGCTGAAACGACTGAAAAAGAACCGAAGTTATATAACGATAAATCCTTCTGTCCACCAGGGAGCCAAGGAAACCCATTCACAGCTGCATTCAACTATACCCCTATCTTTATCCTCTCAAGTCTTCTTCTCAAGGCCGCTTAGGAGAAACGCCTAGTTATGAATTAGTTATCTGAAAGTGATCCGCAATTACCTCCGAAGAATTAACCAGGCTATAGCACATACCAGGAGACAGGGAAAACTCCAGGGGAAGCATTGTTGGTCAAGGCATTCCATGGGCCGAGGGCAAAGTCAATATCTCCAGGTCCGCAAGTTGGACAGGTATCAGCCACAGTGACGGTAACAGTCTTTCCATTGCTGGTGTTCTTAGCAGATATACGTCTGCCACAGTAAGGGCTGTTAGGGCCTTTCATGTAATTGGGGCCTAGAGCAACGATGTAATCTCCGTCTCCGTGCACTGCGCCACAGGAGCCTGCTGCCCCCATCTGATAGTATATGGTTCCCCTCCCGGTCCTTCCAGCAATGTTAGACATTGGTGATCGAAGACAGAAGTCGGAGCTAACTCACGAATCAAGGGTAGTGGTAGGAGTAACTTTAGTCTGGATGTGGGCAGGGAGACCGGAGACGATGCCACAGATCGTGAGGAGAGAGAGCACATAAAATGACTTGACAGCCATGTTGATGGAGCTTGTAAAGGCTTTGGTTTATAAAGTGAGGGAAGTGATGGTGATGATAGTGGTGCGGGTGGTTCTCAATGCTTCAAAATCATCATATGTCCTTGGAATCCATTGCCCCTTTTATATTTCAATCTATTCCATGTTATCGTAAACGACCCCGGTGATTCCATCATGTTAGACCAATACTTGCTGTGATATCCCCCTGCCAAAAGGTGATTGCATCCGGCTGGCTTCATTGTTGAGGTAAATATTTCGGGATGTCAGAGATGTTCCTCCGCGCCCATGACATGCATCATGAAGCCCACATGGCGAACAATTCACGCAATTACCAGGTCTTTAGCAACCGAGATGAGATGAAGCGCGACTGCCAAGCAAGAGAATTCATGACGGAGATGTAATGAGATATCATTTTCTAGCTCCATATTTGGCATCGCACCCCACGGAGAGATCGGGTATTAGACGTGCATCCACGTTCTGTGACTTGAGATGGAATATCTAGGTCTGATCACCAATGAATAATTTGCATGGGCTGTTGGGAACTGGGTTCATACGATAATCCCTTTGTCTATTTGCTGCAGGGCAAAGAACATATTCAAGAACCAATTTCTTGACCTTGCTTCCGAGTTGTACTCGATCGTCACTCGCGCGACTGTGCCTTGCCACACAATTGTCTGGAGAAATATAGCGGACAGCTTTTTGTAGATGGGAGATACTAGGAGGAGGCACCGTTAAGGGATATATAGTCTAATGGCCATGGTGGAGAGTGTGTGACAATTGGTATGTAGTTGTATGTATATCTGGTGTCTGTATACCCATCGATTTATCACAGGACTGTATGGTAAGGAATGGGTACTTATCCAACAATTGAGGATGGTATTGGGTTGGATCATATAACCGCCCACCGGCTGCAAGATATCACACATTTTGAAGAGCAATGTACATATTAGCAGCCAGAAGAGGCCTTGTACTGTTGTCCTTATCCGATAAAATTTCTTTCTGGCCTAGAACTGTAGGTTATTGCAATAACCGACATACTTCGGACCCTGGTCCCAGTCGGCGAAGTCGGGGTTTAGGCCGATGGGGATATACCCTGTGGATTCCAAAACACGTTACTAGGGTCAAGTCGCGCTTTGATTTTCCGTAGTCGAGGTAGGTTATCTCCCCAATATAGCTTCTGTGCTGTATTGCCGTCCAGTTGGGTGTCGATAGAATTGGCATACATGCCCCAATCTCCGTCTGCCATGGACTGTGTAACACTATCCGTGATTTGCCTGAGGAATACGAAACTCTCACGGGGTAATTTTCCATTCTCTCCAAAAGCATTGAGCTGCCAGAGGAGGACCTTGTCACGCTGGGCATAAGATGTAGCGGCTAAGTCAGTCTGAGAAACCGCTGACTTTGGGCCACCGTGCAACTCAAAAAGTACATCCCATGAATGACGTGCATTAGTGTCATTAATGTTGGTAAAGAGGGTCGATACTAAAGCATTAATCTGCTCGTCAGTCAGTGGGGGAGTTGTGAGGCTGCTCGTATAAGTTGTTGTATGCTAAGATTGTGTTAGTACTACAATGCCCTATTGCTGAAAGTATAATCCTTTGTATCGACGGACATACCACATTGTATGGTTGCGGATGGACCAATGGTTCACCTTCTGCAAAATACTCTAGTCCCTCCAGCCAATCGACAGATTTAATATCAGACAATTGTGTTTTGAGATTGATCAAGAGGGGTTGCAGTGCTTGAACGAGTCCATGCTCATCGCCGAAGTACAACCCGCGAATGGACTGACTCGATGCGGTCACATCAAAGGCAAGGTTAAGCTCCTCCCGAGCCGTCAATGAAAGACTCTGCACTGCCTTCAAGGATTCAGCCACGCCTGATTCGCTCCAGGGCATGTCGATGGCGAAAACAGTGACATTCTCTGGCGGCCTGAATGTGCCGAACTCGAATTCGGTGACGATGCCAAAGGACGACCCAGCACCTCGTATTGCCCAGAAGAGATCTGTATTGTCTGTCGCAGAGCAATGTGCTACGGAGCCGTCAGATAGAATCACCTTGGCACTCTTTAACCAGTCTAGAGTAAGGCCGTGAGTGCGTGAAGCCCTGCCGTATCCGCCGTGCAAGACATGTCCGGAGATACCAACTCTGCTGCGGTTAGCTAAAGCCTTCAAATTAATCCCACTTCATTTCTTTCATCCAAGAGGAATAGTTAACATACCCAGGGCAGGTTCCGTGGGGAATTGCTCTCCGGCCTTGGTTGAACAATTCCACAGAGACGTGTCCCAGCCGCGCTCCAGGCTGGATGATAGCAGTGTGGTTATCGGAAAGGATTACCTGGTCCATCTGCTCGAAATCAATAACAAGATGGCCATTTTCGCCCCCAAAACCATAGGACCCGGAGCTGTGACCGCCTCCTTTAGCGCTGATGCGCAATTGATGATTTATACCACATAGCACGGCAGCCTGAGCCTGCTCGATACTACCCGGAATTGCAACAGCCGCCGGTGTATATCTCACGCGAATGTTCCAGGGCGATGTCCTTTGATTCCAATCCTTTGAACCTTCCACTACGTGCGAAACGCCGGCATCCGATAGGCATAATGATAGGGAGCGCGTGTCTCTCCTAGCGAGGAATATGATGACGGTAGCCGCGAGGACAACCCACAAAACAAATCCAATGGGCCGCCATAGACTGGTGCAACGTGTAGTATTGTTCCTGCGAGGCCGTGAGTGGACAGCCAGCAGCGGTGTCCTCTGATTGCTCTTGAGTGGCATATCAGAGAGCATAAGAATCAGAGGATGAGCGTGTGCTAGAATGAGAAACAGAGAAGTTCTGCTTGATGCAAGATTGTTGATCTCAATCTAGACTGGGCTAACTCTCTGCTTGGAGTACTTGCATCTAATACTCTCTGTTAGGTGGTTCGAGATATATATCTCCAGGCATTATGACCCTTTCTGTACGGGGTAAAAATTTTCGTCATTTGTTCGACTCAAAAATGAACAGATCAGCAAGAGGTTAGGGGCCTGGCGATCAGCGAGCTCCAGCCAACCAGTCTGCAGCCCAGGGCTGATTGCGATTGCATCCGCCAGCCACGCTGAGGTGTCACAGCCTATCGGGTATCTTCTCCTTGTAGATGATTGCCTAGGCTCGCCTTGCACATACTCCATACAGGCTTAAAGGTTAGTGAGGCTGGCGCGGAGAAAGTGTTACTATAAGCCCTAAGAGTCTGCACTATATAAATGTAGAGAAACGAATGTCAATACTTAAATAACTAACGGTTATAATTGATCGACGGGGAGAAACGCGAGGAGTTGCTACTTTAAGCTAGCCAATCAGAGCGATCCATTCTGCCGACATATAGCGGAACGGATAATATATTAGCCGTTAATATCACGTGAATGATATCAAGTTGATGAATAATACACTTGAACCTTAATGTTAAATTAACGTTATTTAAATGCAGAAGAGGACTATAAATTGAGAGAGAGAGAGACAGATGAGATGATTGAAGAGATGGGTATTTTATTTTGGCATTAGCTTGTACATGGGCATCTTGTCTCTCACCAACGATGATTATTTCCTTACCTCGCCCTCTTACTTCGTAGATTACCGAAATAAGTATTCCCTGATACAGCGTTGGCCCTGTAGTCGCTGGCTGGCATGGGAAGTTCGAGAACAAAGGCCCGAGGAAATGTCAATGTTTTCAATATAGCCATGTTATATTAATACAGTAGAGATTGGTTACTCTATCCAAGTTTCCGGAACTCCCGTGCCTGTGGTAAAAATGGAAGAAACTCAAACTTGGACGGCTAACTTGAAGAGAAGTCGAGGGGGCTAATGAGTGAGCTAAACAACCTGCTCAGTCTTGATCGTGTTAGACCCGTTTGGAATAGCCTTGACTGGCATGGCACTACCAGCTTTTGTATTCCACATGTCAGCAACGGTTTCAACTGCCCTCTCGACCACCACCCTAACACGGTCTCTTAACACCGGGTAGGAACATTCAACCTCGAGTGTCTCAAGCCAGACGCGAGCGATGTGGTTATCAACCTTGATTTCAACCCCCGGCACAGGTATGCCGAGAGACTGTAGACGGGCGAGCTCTAGCTCTTCCATTTCTCGGAGTTCCTCTTCGTCTTCAGGTTCATCGATGTCAGGAGTGTCGACCTTGCCTGCGTCCTCGGCTGTAGATGGAGATCTTTCCTTCCGACCACCATGGTATTTCAATTTCGGGCGCTCGATGGGAGCAATTTCCGACCCAAACTGGGCCTCAAGGATCATACATAGACGCATAAAGCGCTCGTCAGGAGTGAGCTGAGAATGAGGATTGCTTGGGAGTGGCGGCGCATGGTTATGGCACTGTTTATTTTTACTCGAACCTATTATCGTCAAATCAATGAATTTCTGCTGTTTTAGACGAACCAACCGGCATCGCAAAGGGGGATACTTAATACTCACGTTTAACAGCTGCGGGGCTACTTTCAACTGTGAGCAATACCGCCATAACAGCATCGGCAACACCGTCATTCATCATATTACCTTCCCATTCTACCTCAACTTCGCGCCGTTGTGGATTATATTTCACGAAGACACAACCCATTATTAGGTATGTGGTTAGTTCGCTAAAGGGTATCTCCTCGTCCGCTTCTTCACCTTTTTTGATTACCGAGTCATCCTGCGTTTCGCTTGAATCGCCATTAGAGCCCTTCACGGCTTCACTCGAAGGCGAGTTGATCTCTTCGATCAGACCGAAGGTACTCTCTAACGCCCAGCGTATAAGATCAATGCTTGCGGTGCTGAGGGTAATATACTGTTTGCAAGTAACCATTGTTGTAGTGAGTCCGGCATATTCTCTAAGGTCGTCAGAGGCCATCATCGATAATTTGAAGCCATTCTGGACGAGAACGCCATCCATTAATCGAGAATCATCTTGGCCTATGGGTGGTGAAGTCTCTGCAAGTCGACCGACGACTCTGGCAACCTTGTCAACCATGAATGGGATGCGGACTTCATCACAGTTTGCAGGAGTGTAGACTTTGACCTTTACTTCTTTGTCTACATTCAAACTCAAAAGTTTGGATTTCAGCCTCATCATTTGGTGTTTCTCTCCATGAACAAGGATCTGTAGTGTTATACATTAGCTTCAGGAACTAAATGCAAGATGCATGTTAACTTACGACGACGGGAGCAGCGACTGATTCGATAAACTCCCTATTCTCCACACCGTCAACGTGGGCAGCAAAACTGATCTCATCGACGGTACACCTTCGCTGAATCATGATTTTCTGATCATCACTAGGGCCTGCAGAATTTTTGGCGCTCATAACAGCTGGTATCTGTTCGGGCTCATTGATTATCTGTTTTCCCATGGTACCCTCAACGCTGTAACCTGTCATGATGACACCATTGCGTTCATTTGGTGCCCACCTCTCTAGGAGCTCTCTGCTGGTTCCAGTTTGGAGCATACCAGGAGAAGCAAGCATTACGCACCCTCCAACATCTTCAAAACGGTCGAGGTTCCTTAGGCTTCGAACAAAACGGAAATCCCAGGGGCCAGCGGTGACGCTCTTGTCTCCTCTAGCTTCAGCCTCAGCCATGCGTTGGCGGAACAGCCGTTTTATGTTCTCATTCATAGCTCCGATGTATGTTTGATACACAACCATACACCGACGAGCCATGTTTCCAATATAGTAAATGGGAACTTTCTGTAATTCTGGGTGTCGGCTCCAGTACTCATCTAGAATCAAGAGTAGCTCCTGTGCTCGTCCAAGTGCAAAGACGGGCATGAGAACTCTCCCTCCCCGATTTATAATACTGGTAACTGATTTCATGAGGGCGGCTTCTCGCTCAAGGCGAGGAGGATTGGATGATATTCCGAAGGTAGACTCTGTGATCATGACATCTATTTTCACCCCCTTAGGTACTTCTGCTGAAATTAAGTGGCGGTCCTCTTCTCTAGAATAGTCGCCTGTGAATAGAATATTCAGTCCGGCGATGGATATGAGGAACATGGCGGCGCCAAGCACATGGCCAGCCGGGAACGGAGTGATTCTAATACTGTTGATGGTGTGGGTGGTGTTGAAGTCGATTGTTTCAATGATGGGGAGGGTTGAAAGATGATCATGTTCATTGTAGAGACTTGTCCGTTGATCGGAGGAGGAGGATGTATTGCTGACTCGGACATTATCCTGTATCAGCCACTTGTAGATAGCCTTGGTGGCATGGGTCATGAAGACCCTGCCTTTGAAATTTGTCTTGCTAAGGACATAGGGCAGCGACCCAGAGTGGTCCAAATGAAAACTGCCATCAGTTAGCTGCCTGATCACGCTTAGGGTTGTGGAAATATTGTGCAAGGGGAATGAAATTAACAATGCTGTAGAGGACGAATACATTGGGATACGAGGGCAAACACCATATTGTCGAGGCTAATAAAAATTTGAATTGCATTGAATATCTCATAGTACATGTTTGAACATGGAGGAAAGGCAGTGAAAAGAAAGTTTGTATATCTGTTTGTATATCCATCTGCGCATGGCTGACAAGGGGGGTTGTTGCACTAATAACCCGGACATGGAGGGGAGGATGGACGTACTGGCTTATTAAAAGGATATCGACGGTACTGAGGTCGAAGTCATCGAAGAAAGGGAGTGCTGCAAATCCATCTTTCGCGGGGTGCATTCCAGCATCAAGCTGTCAATTTCATATATGCCATATTAGCCCAGGCACAAGACCGCAAAAGATTCACAACGTAATAAAGAAACGAACCATAACCGTCTTCCCCTTATACTGTATAATGTGACAGGACCGCCCGACCTCATTTCCGCCTCCCAGACAGTGGAATAGAAGCTCGTCAGAGGGATCTATTTGCTGCTCGTCCGCGCTCCCTGAAAACGAGCCCTTTCGTTTCGTCGCCATCTTTGCGGGCTGTATTTATCTCTGCATCAGCGGCTAGCTAGCCTATCTGTGCCCAGGCAACCACCAAGCCAGACTTCAGGCCGGTCTATCTTTTCCCACACGCCCTTTTCAATGCAGCTGGCTTGATGTCGACTTGTCCACCTGCCTCGTCCTTTTTTCTGCTTTGACATGGACCAGAATCGTCGTTCTAGCTTATGTCATTGATGATTATATAAATTCATTACATAAGTTCTTAATAAGATATGTTCACGTGATACCTCTTTTTGTCCTGCAAAGAAAAAACGCGAAAAATGACATCAAAAAGCGACGTCAGAGAATACAAGCAAAAGGACAGGCAGAAAGGACGACGACGAGATACGAAGGAAAAGCGAGTTGACCGATAGGGAGCGCCCGGCTATTTACTACTTCGCTTCCGTTTGCGCTACAGATGGTTGGCTTGCCCTGCGTGAGATGAAAGCTGGCTCCGGGGGGAGACGCAAATCCTCGCCTGGCCTCCGTTTTGCGCTGCATTCACCCGGGCGCTTGATATATTCACAAACAGCGAGTTCCTACTAAGAGACAGGAGGACAATAAGAACACTTAGAAGCCGTCCGCCTGAGGCCTTCTGGATTTTCTGTCACGATGGCGCAGACCCAGTCCCACCAGCTGCCTCCTCGCTCCTTTTCTCCCCCTGCCTCCAGTCCCTCTCCTGGTACCCAGCAGGCTTCGGTGCCGGGTAGCAACATTCCCCCTCCCCCCAAAAGACAGCGCCTCTCGCCTCTTCCGCAGTCATCACAGCCCTACAACTCTCCTCACTTTGCGCCAGTGCAGTTGTCTACGAACGGGAGCGCTATGCATGTGAATGGTATGGCAAAACAGGCCCCCAATGCGCCCCCGCCACCCGGCTCGATGGGGCCGCCTTCACGGCCGGTGGAAAAAGCGACAGACACTGCTGAGCTTACAGACGTGCTAGCATCGTCTGGTATAGATGTGAAGGAGGAGGAGGCGTTCTTGACTAGCGGGTATGCAAAACCAGCGGTTCCGGTCCAGCAAACGCATTCCCAGTCCATCTCACATCCGCCGCGCCAGCAAACAAGCTTCTCAAACTCGTTCAATTCCATACCACCTGTTGGGCCTATCACACCTTCAAACAGCTTTCCCGAACAGACACCCAAACAACCAGGCTTCCAACCAGCAGGTTACCCCTACCAGGCACCTGTTGCCCCTGCTCCGCCTATCAAATCACCGGAAGAGATATCACAAGATGAACAACTACGACACGATACGGCTGCTAGTAGGAGGGAGCAGTATCATCTCCAGTCTGCTTTTTTGCATACTGCTGTTATGGAGAAGAAGCTTGAGAAACGGGCCCAGGAACACGGGGTGAGGATGCCCATGAGTGGTGTGTTTAAACCCCTTCCCGGGCGTCCTACGGGACCTGTTGAGGTCACTGGCCCCGATGGCTCCTCTGTCATTAGAAGAGACAAGACCATTTTGAACCCCGAATCAGCACTTGGTGACATTATCTCGCTGCTATCGTTAGCCTCGGAGGAGAGGCTTCGATCTGTCATCGATCATTCTGTGACTCTCTCGAGAAATCGGCGAGTCAACTCTCACGGCGCTGTACCTTCTGAGTGGGCTGATTTAGCTATAATCCAGGAAACAGCAGCTGATGATAATACTTCCACAACAAGTAAGTCTCACTTGGTTTCCGCGGCCCTTCGGTTGTTAATACTCATTTCGTAGAAGCAGAACAACCTTCCACAGCTGAAACGACGGTTGATAACTCCACCTCAACAGCTAAGAAGACTACTACATCAAGCACGTTGACTGTGAAAAGCCGTCGTCTGATTGACAGGGATGAATCACATGAGGAGCGTCGAGCTGCCAAACGTGCAAAACGCAATGCAGATGCCATTCTCGGCGCTGATGGCCGACTACCGACCCCTGGTGCATCCACGCCCAATGGCCTGGATCGTGCTCCTGATATTGATAAGAAAATATCTAAGAAAGATATAAAGAAGATCGATGTCAAAGCCACGGGTGCGGTGCAACATCAACATGCAATTGAAACCGCCCGTATGCAGACAACTAGTCTTTCTTCGCGATTCGGCAAGAAGGGAGGCTACAGTTGGCTTAAGTCTTCGCAGCCAGCAGTTAGTAGAAGCGGCTTCTCGACACCCTCTCGACTCAGCGCGGCAGCAGCAGCAGGATCAGCCGCAGGAGGGAATGGAAAGCCGGGCTCCAACGCAGCGAGCATAAAAGCTATTCGCAAGCAGTTCGGTGATTGGCGGGAAGACAAGGAGAATGGAGCTGGTATCCAAATCCGAGACCTTCTCTTTACGCTAGAAGTGGATGGTAGAGGTCTAAAGCATCTACAGAAGGCTTATTCCAAGGACGCTAAGGAGGATTTTGCAGCCTCCTAATCTGTTTACTTTTTCTCTCTTCACACAAGACATACCCTTTCATACAGCAAGTTTTATTTGGCCGGGCCAATCAAGCTACCAGGTCTCCTGTTGAGAAGACATGTCCTTGTGGGAGACCCTTAATGCTCGGCATCATACTACTTTACACAGTCCGTTGATGTTTATTTTTCTTCCCCTTCACGCAGCACTCGAGCTTACTCGGCTCTTACGACCTTTAATCTTACCTTTTCTTTTCTTTACCTCTTCCTTTCTACTTTGTTATATTCCGTACCACCGGCTTGCTCGAGCTGCCTCTCTTACACACCTCCTTTTTCAACACGTGCTCTACATGCGGTAGTTGTTTCTTTTCTGTTTTATTCCTACTATGGGAAAGGTTCGTCGTTCAAAGGCGCAAATGCATTTTGACTATTATGCTGTTATAGCTGACACTAGGAGGCATCTAACTTGCATAAATGAAAATCTTGTTCAGACTGATAGCTGACAACATTCCAAAGGTAATCGAAGACAATGCGTAGTCGTTATATCTTATCTTCTTTAATTATCTCGTTGACCATGGCTGCAGCGAGTCTTGCATCTGGCTTTATCTCTTCTCTGACCTGAGTGTGTGTACAGGGTCTCATCTCCTTTCTGAGAGGTACTTCAGGCCCATTCATGCCCTCTTGAACAAATCCTATCAAATAGCTGAATCATAAAGCCGAGCCTGCTGATTGACAGCAGAGAGAGCAGCCATTACCTCTTGACACTTCGCAAGCCTTGCAGGTCAAAACTGTCTCGCTCTTTTAAGCCTGCTGGACGCTCTAGCATCGACAACAAAAGACCTTATACCCAAGCACTCGCTTCAGAGCTCTCACGTCCTTCAGTAAATGCCCGTTTGTTCCCTTGTTGCCTCGTCTCGTCAAAAAAAGGCAATCATAGTTATGCCTACTCACATAAACTTCTGATTCTCCATGAGGGTTCGGAGATTTGTACGAGCGTAAATGGTTCAACAACAATATCTATCTCCATTGGGTGTCGGTTAAAGAGGTAAAGGACATGGGTTCGACAACGAGGCTCTGGGAGTCATCCTCGTTAACTCCAAGTTGGGCCTTGGAGCAGGTTCTACTTAACTAGAGTTCTGCCAAGCCGGAGCCTCTTTCGGTGATTGGTGGTGGGGGATTACGTGATTTGAATCCAAACCTTAAGGTTGATCACACGGCTTTGATTGGATGAAGTTGGCGCCACATCAGCCGCCCGAAAGAACAGTGGGTATGTCGCGGCGGAGGAGTCTGCTTAAAGTATGCTTATTTTATCAAACTTGTCTGGTAGGGTGTTTAGCCTCACGTCTAGCGTGGCTGGCTCGAGTTTTGCGGTTTGGCTTGAGAAACCGAATGATTGGTGGAACCTTTTTATCAGCCTTTGAAAAAATAGTGAGGTGGTTTTAATACCCTCTACAGCCATACCACCATAGTCATGAGGCTCAATTTGCCTGCGAGCAACCTGGTAACTAACTGCCTGTTGATCTCTGGGATACCCTAACTACCGACATACAGCAGTTTATAGAGTTCGTACGCCGCCGCTCGCTGGCCGATCTATAGAAGGCCACCTGTGCCAAAAATTGAAACTACACGTGACTTAGTTAACCTTAATTTGGAACTAAATAACTTTTCGGCAGTCTCAACCTCACCTCCAGGCAGCAGGCGTCCATACCTAAGGTTGGATCCATGCTTCCAACTAGTGAATATCTCGACGATGCATGCATGGGGACATTAAATGACTGGGACAGAAAGGCGAGCTTAGCAGTGACTTGGTCCCCGACAGAATATAAAAGTTTATGACTGGAGTACTCGTTTGTCGTGCGAGATGGCTTCCGATGACGCGCGAGATTATAAGGCACTCTTCCTACAGGCAGAGGAGCAGGCAAGACAGGAAAAGGAACGACGACTACGAGCGGAAGATGAACGACAACGGGCAGAAGAAGAGCGTCAACAGGCAGAAGAAGCACTACAACACGCAGAAGAAGCGCGTCAACATGCAGAAGAAGCGCGACAACACGCGGAAGAGCGTACCCGGCTCACGTCGTTTGAAGAATTTATTCAGACTTGTCATAACCTACTATCTCTACCCATAAAGGTGCGAGATCCCGCGCGCTCAACTAGAGGGTCGATCCCAAAGCCAACCGGGAAGTTATGCCCTACCTACCTTCGCCCCTGGTCAAGCCCATTTCTCCTAGATGAAACATATCGCCGCGTTAATCACCACTTTCAGCCTACTGACAAGTTGTTTCCTTCTTTGGCTGAACTCGAAGCCGTTGCACGGAGATGCAGTCGTCCCCTAGGAAGTGAGAAAGACCTTGAATTCTACGCGCATATTGCTGTGGAACAGCATGTCCAGGATGTGATCATGGAGTTGTGCAACAAACCGCAGGCTCGAGATCGTTTTGCTCTTGGGGAGGCAGTTGTATTCGAAAACCATGCACACACTATTGATGAAGACGACGATGCGTCAGATCAGTCAGGAGCGCGGCGCCCTATACCGGACCAGTTTTGTGTTCATAGAGTTGATGGTGGCAACTACACGCTACTTACAACAGTTGAGTATAAACCACCTCACAAGCTGTCGGTTGAAAATCTTGCCGCTGGCCTCAGACCAATGAATCTCTGGGAAGAGGTAGTCCAGCTGGATACTATTCCGACTGATGTAAAGGCAAAGCTACAATATAATGCTGAACAGATAACAGCATCAACTCTGGTCCAGGAATTCCATGTGATGATCAATGAAGGGCTCGAGTTTTCATATATTACCAATGGATTGGCCTATGTTCTGCTTCGGGTGTATGAAAATGACCCGACCACGCTTTACTACCACTTCTGCAATCCTAACAAAGAGGTTGGTTCGGATACGTTATCGAGGACAGCTATCGCTCGAGTGCTCTGTCTCTGCCTGATGAGCTGCCGCTCGCCAGTTCGGAACCAAGATTGGCGAAATAATGCTAGGCAGCAGCTAAATGTGTGGGAAACAAGCCTCGATTATGAAAGAGGTCGTATACCAGACGATGAGCTAAATAAAACTCCTCCGAGCCCTGGAAATGCGCCGTCCTCTCCATATATACCGTCCTCTCCGCTGAGCTCTCCGACTGCAGACCATTACCGCCCAGTAACTCGATCCCAGGCCGGCTGTGCACCTCAAAGCACAACTGCACATCCTCCAGAGCACACAGATTCCGACTCCGACTCCCCCCAGGCGGCTGCCGGAAGGAAGCGAAACTTCAGCGAACTAACGGCATCGCTGCCCGGTCAACAACGGTCGCGCCAGATGGAACGCAGGGGAAGTCAGAGTCAGGGAAGCTATAGGGAAGAACCGCACGTTGAGCTATTTTGCACGCAGAAATGCTTGCTTGGCCTGAAGCGTGGTGACAACCTGGATATCACCTGCCCAAATGTAGAGAGGCATAGATCGGTAGCTGGAGGGGACAAACACCCTATCACCACGGAGCAACTGGTGAGTTTGATAAAGCAACAGCTTGATACGACCCTTAACCGTGATTGCTCGCCCTTTGGTAGCTCTGGCTCGTACGGAGCGCCATTCAAAGTTACTTGCCGCCGGTATGGTTATACAGTCGTGGGAAAAGGTACAACCTCATACCGCTGGAGTGAAGTATCAAGCGAAGCAACTATATACCGTATCCTTCGCGATTTACAGGGGTCTGCAGTCCCCGTTTTTCTAGGACCAATCGACCTTAAAATGATATATTACTTACACGGTGTGGGGGCCATCCAACATATGCTGCTCATGGGCTGGGGAGGAGAGCACACAAGCGGACATAAGTCCACTAAGGAACTTCTCAGACAAATCAGACGGTCAGAAAAAGAGATCCGCGCGTTAGGAGTGCATCATGGTGACTTTCGCAGGGAAAACGTTCTATGGAATGAAGAGCTGGGGCGAGCACTGATCATTGACTTCCACCGCTGCAAACTCGTCCGACCTGATAGGAAGAAACGCTCGGCGGACGGAAATGGGCTCCTAGAAAGCAAGAGTGAGAAAAAGAAGGCCGTTCTGTGCGGTATTCCAACTGTTGTAAATGTACCTAATGATATTTAATGTCGTATTGTTGGAGAGGTAGTGAGTAGTTTAAGGAATACAGTGATGGATTAGCAGGACCTAGGAAGCAGCATTAAAGTATTATTTTATATTGGCTAAGGGATTGACCAAAGGTTACAATATCCTGCCACCGTCTATACTTTTAGAGGAAAAGATTTGAAAGGGAAGAGATTATTTACACCCTCAAATAGCTTTCTTTTTTATATACAGCTGTTCGATGTTATAAGAAATCTGCGATACTTCGACTTCTAGATACTCCCTGGATTTCCTCGTGCAGTGGAGGACTCCACTATCTAGGTAGATCCCTCGATACATCGACCCTTGTCACCCCACCAGGAGTTTGCAACAGCTCCCCACCAGCGCTTGACGTCAAGCAGGGCGTCCTTGGTTAAGAACATCCTGCAGTGAGCAGGCTCATAGACAAACTGCCGAGGCACTCGCTTCCTGTCATCAGTGAAGACAGCGTTGCGGTAATTGACACGGCCGCCGGCTCCATTGTTGAGCAGACGGGACAGCACATACTTGCCCTTGTTGTACATCTGGCCGAGCTGGGTCTTCTCCAACTCGCGCTGCTCGCGTGGGGTGGAATACTTCTTGATAACCAACTCAGCAATGCTCCAGAGCTCACGGAAGGTAAGCACCTGGGTTCCCTTTACACCACCAACAGCCTGCATACGACCTGTGCGAGGCTGTCCACCGACTGCAATAGACTTGATACCATTGCGGTTCATTAGGTCGGAGAAGATAGCACAGGTGGAGGCACAGATACCATCGGTAACGAGGACGATATTCTCCTTTCTGAATGCCTGGGGGGCAACATGGCTGCGGTTACCGTAGCCTGAGACAACCAGACCGCCAGCCTTAAGGGACATGGGGATATTATGGAAGTCCCAGATGGCAAGGCGGCTGAAGTTCCCGGCCTCAACGGTCTCGGGGCCAAAGTAGGAGTCCCAGGATCGGTATTTTCTACCGTTAGGGTCAACATAGGAGTTGGTATCAAAGATATCGTCCCTCATCTCCTCTGCAGCTGGGGCCTTTGGATCGCGGGGGTGCTTAAGGAGGTAGTTAACCTTAGTTCCAATGATGTCGAACTGCTCAATGGCACGGAGGTTGAAAGGAGTTTCAATTCTTCCTGTTGGGAGAAGCTGTGTTTTAAGCTGTTAGCTTAAGGGTATCTCGAGGGATATCTTGCCACCGATTGACTTACCTGCTTGAAGGTATCGTAGCCTAGGAAAATAGTACCACCCCTGTTGCCGCTGACATCAACAATCAGCTTCTCCTTACCGGCCTTTCTGCAGTCTTCCAAGAACTTGGTGACAGTGTAGCTGAAGTCCCACAAGGGATCGTTATTTTCAGCAGCACCAACGAAGGATCGGAGGTTAAGTACAGCAACCTTAGAATCCTTGCCTTCGAGGAAGTAGCCGGCAGCGGCACCATCCATAGATTCACGGAGTGGGGTTACTGGAGGAACGGTACGCTGAGCCAAGGGGAATGGCGGGTAAGATATCGGGTTGGCAGTAAGGAAGCGGTGGTCTCGGAAAGCAGTGTGCTCGTAATCCGTTAGAGAAGCAGCAGTAGCCTGTTGCTTGCCGCTACAGAACTTTTCGTAAAAAGTATTGCCATCCTTGACACCAGAGAAGTCTGCAGTAGAAGTGGCGGTATGGCCAAACTCCTTGGTAGTTCCGTTTTCGAAGGTAACACTCATCTTGGTACCGGTGTAGAGACCACGGCTTGTGAAGAATCCACCAGTACCACTAACCCTGGTAAGGGGAAGGTTAAAAAGCATGCCGTTATAGAGAGCATCAGGGTCCTGGAAGAACCCGCTGAAGGAGAACTTCTTCATCCACTCGGTGGCATCTTGCCCGTCAATAGTCTTGAGAGCCGATGCGTTCATCGATCGACCCTGGAGGTCATCTTCATAGACATGTTAGCTGCAATTGAATAACACTGAACAAGAGAGTAAGATTGAACATACTGAGAGAGTAGATCTTTGGCAGGTTCTTTCCGTCATCAGAAAGAGACACGAGCGAGCCGATATCAGAACGGGTGAAGGCAAAAGTGGTAATAAGGTCCATTGCGAGGTTGAAGTGACCATCATGTACAGTTCTCACAAGTGCATCGAGCTCGAACTGGAATTCAAATTCGTTCTTGTATCCATTGCTGGCTGCCTTTTGGCGAATCTTTGCAATTCCTCCCTCAAGATCAGTGCCAGGCACGGCGTAGCCCTGTGGTGGGTTCTTCAGGAAGTCCTTGGTGGTCTGCCAGTCCCAGAAATACTTCAAGCCGTCAATCAACTGCAGTGAGTCGTTCGATTTGAACGGAACTGAAGTCAGACAGGCGTGAGCGAGCTCCGCCGAGACGGTGAAGTTAGTAGCTATGTAGACATATATATTAGCATGTATTTTTTTCCCCCGTATTTTTAGCTGAAAAGTTTTAATTGATTTGTATACCATTTGGGTTTCCTGCCTTCTGCTTCCGCTGCTCCTCAGCGACCTGGGCGCATGGCTCCGTGGCAGCAGTCACAAGGCCACTGGAAGAAAGCAAAAGGCCAACAACGGCCTTGTGGAATCGCACCATGATTCCCGAATGAGGGATTGGTTAAAAAGCGACCGTGATTTAAAAGAGTGAAAGGCCCACACGCAAGATGTGTGTAGATTGGGGTGAGCAGGCAGGAAACAACGACTGCTGTGAAACCCTGCAAAACCTGGGGAATCTGGAGAAAATGGGGACCCCGCTGGCTCTTAAATACCCGGGAAACTGGTCTAGCCAGCTCCTCGATCCCTCAGCATAGGCAAGGTGCTGGGGGACGAAGGGAAGTCAACAATCCCCCGAAAGAATAGAGGGCATCCTTTGCTGGTTATCATTACATGGGTGGGAAGGCCCCAAGGTAGTGGAGGATAGCGCAAGGGTAGGCGAGAAAGACCTTGATCACGAAATATCCCGCAGAGGAGAAATAAACGTATTTAAACATTATTTGCAGCGGAGTTCGAGGAATACGCCAGGGATAAGCCCTGGTTATCTTCCGCAAGGGGTATCTCCTCCGGATAGCCCATCCCCTCAGGCCTGAGTCTTGATCGCTCCCATCATATTTGTTCCATGAAATTGGGTCGAGATCACCAGGTACCCGAGGGGATCGCTGACGGCTATCTATTTCCAGCCTAGCGGGTATCATAAGCATTGCACCAAATTATACGATTCCCCAGCGAGCGAACCATGGGGGTGGCGTGCGAAGATCTCAATTTCCCCTCAAGGGGCAAGCCGTTCCTCTGTCGCCAACACGACGGACACGGGCAGCTGGATAGGCCAGCAACTCTTCCTGCAGGGGATCCCTGGGCGCGGCCAGGTTCCCAAAGTAAACTCTTCTATGCTCGACCGATAAAAAGACGGCTAGCGACCTTTCTGTCCAGCCAGCCGAAGCCTTCCAATAATAAATCATGAAGGTTGGGAAGTTGAAAATGCCGGCCGTCGTCGTATCGCCGGAGCCGGACTAGCCGCTTAGTCAGCCCTCACGATAGCCGAGGCATAAACTCAGTTAGTCAAGCCAACAACCTTAACTATCCTGAACATCCTCCGTTAGTTATTCGTTATTCGTTATCACTTCCAGCTCCATCCTCTCGCGCTGCAGGCCTGTTGAACCACTTAGTTACTCCGCACATTCATGACAGCTGCAGTGACGCTGGTGTTTGCAGCCAATCATCCTGCTGCTCACACTCGATAAAGGGCGATTTAGGATGCCGGCGCCACGCACGAGAACAGTTCTGGAAGGCCTTCTTCGGCTTGCGAGAAACCTTGAATGATGTCGCCTTCGTGTTCTGCATGGCTCACGTCGGCCTAGACGGCTGCCTGTTCCCTGCATCCTTTTGTGCGGTGAGGAGGAGGGCAAACTTCGCTTCGCGAGAGAATCAATATTCACACAAATATAACTAAACGCAAAAGCTAAACCTGAAGTGGCAGATACTTTCATATTATTATTATGTCTTCTGTCACGGTCTCCATCCTGCACTCTGAGCGGATATTTCCCAGGACGAAGCAGGACTCGGAGGAAACGATAGCCCTCTCGCTGCTGGATGCGACTACGGTTAATTTTGCGCATACCTGCTCGACCTGGCTGTGTGAAGCCCCCGAGACTGCCGCAGGACCTGAATTTGACCTAGCAGACCATCTGCGCCGGTCGCTCCGGGTGGTCTTAGATGCCTACCCACAATGGTGTGGCCGTATCAATGCTATAACCACCCTCGACGGCGCAGCAGGGCCTCATACGCAGCGTTTTGGTCGAGTTTATGTTCAGTATGGGAGCCCTCAGGACCCCGGGGTAGAGTACATAGTTGCCGAAACTACGGCCACTCTTGATACTGTCTGTCCGGCCTTGAGAGCAGTGGATCAGCCTATCTGGAACCGTCAGGAGATACCACCAGAGAAGTTCGTTCCTTCAACGCCTCTGTCTAATGCACTGCAGCCTGATATTCTAGACGATGCTGGTCTCTTCCCGCCTTTGCTAGCTATTCAGCTAACGAACTTAGCATGTGGCGGCTTCATTTTGACTGTCAAGATCGTTCATCCACTGGCAGATATTCAGTCTCTGGTGTACTTCGTAAAGGACTGGGCTAGTGTCAGTAGGTCGGTCCTCTCGAACACGCCATGTCCAACCCTGAATCCCCTGTTTGAGCCTGGGTTGCTAGACTCTTTAGCTGCAGGTGATATTGACGCTGTCGAGCCCGACATGGCTATTATCCAAAGGGCCAAAAGTATGCCTCTCCATCGCTATGACTGGTGGGCATCTTCACCCAATTCCCCTTGGCCCGTAAAGGTACCAGAGGCTTTAGCCGGCAAGATGCTATCTCCGGCTGGTAAACCGATGCCGTGGTCGGAATGGAACATAACTGAGCCAGTCTCACACTATGTTGTTCACCTCAATCGGCATCAAGTAGAAGCCATACGGAAAGGAGCAACTTGTGGGCTTTCCCGGGATATGGGGCCAACTCGCATCAGCCAGCACGATGCTATCCTAGCTCACGTCTGGTCGTGCATCAATCGTGCTCGCAATCTAGAAGAAGACAGCCAGCCAGTGCATTGCGATCTTGTATACGGGGTCCGGCCCGCATTCAAACTTGATAAGTCTTTCTTGGGCTCCCCGATGCTTATGATCAATGTAGAGATGTCATCGGCGGACGTGACGGCCGGATCAAGGCCTTGCAATATACCCGCTCTCCAGTCGATCGCACAACGCATACGCCAGACGATTGGAGAAGTCAGCCAACCAGATCTTCTCGCTGCCCATCTTCATAGCGTGGCATATGAAGAGTCGCCGCAGCGGATCTGGCAAGCGTTCCTAGGCCGGCGCCATATTCTGGTAACGAGCTGGGCGCGGGCGGGTCTCTATGAGATAGATTTTGGGTTGAGGTCGTCCCCTATAATTCGGTATGCAGATAGCTTTATCCCGGACATGGATGGAACTATCGTGATAAAGGAGGCACCTCCGCTAAAGAAGGAGGATACCTCGGATGGAAGCTTACCGAGTTCATGGACTGCGAATGGTGTGGATATTTCTCTCCGTCTTCGATCTGAGGATATGGATCGGTTGCTTCGTGACCCTATGCTCTTCCCGCAGAATACGTCTAATGAGTGAGACCTATGAATTGGAAAATATTGAATACGTTCTGTTATCCTCCAGCATTATACTCACGTAACGGAGGTAAATTTGTATACTATATCAAGAGTGTGACCGCTTATCGTGTGGGCTCATCTGTGACTTTCGATATCTAGATCACATATGAGCCCAAGTGGTACATCGGCAGAATTATTAGCCGACATGTATTCTGGAGGGCTTCTAATACCCCATATAAATACTCCGTAATGGGTGTTAATGATTATAACAAGAGTTAATGTCTCCTACCTCGGAGAAGGGCCTCGGGAAACGCCTTTGGTGAAAGTTGGGCAAATGACCCGAGAAAGACCCGCTCCATATCGAGACTTGAACCTGCATTTTGATAAGAGTTCGGGGTATACACACACACTTGGTACATCGCCTGGTGGATGTCTGATACCTATCTGGTGGCCTGACTTTGTTCAATTTTAGTACTCTGCCTTTCTGATTCAAACTATACGTCAAGCTCTAATGCAGGGTTAATTTACAGTCTAAGTACGACATTGTTAGCTGATCCTCTGGGAGCGTCCAATGCCACGTGGACACCTATGTTATCAGGGCTAGGATCATATTCTGTGATAGATATTGTCGAACGAACCGGATTCACACAAAGTGCCGAAGCACGTCTTTATGTACACACAAAGTAGATGGTGAAATAGCCTCCATCAAGACACAGGTTGGTGTCTTTAGCTGCGGTGGCGGCCGTGACAGACAGGGGGAGAGAAGAGGAGACAGGAGGAGAAATGTTGTATGACCCAATTGTGACGGCTTGGGAAGAAGGGAGATGGAAGCGAAGAAGGCCTGAACAGACATTGTAAGTAGGGAAAGAGGAGAGGAGGAGAGAAGAATTCTTCCTCTTGTTGTTTATGTTTCCTCCGAGTTCTCCTTCTCCCATGCTTCTCGGGCCGTTTCCTCTAGGGCTCGGTTCCTTATAGGACTCTGAACCCTTCAGGGTCTTCAATAGAAAAATGCGTTATTGAAAAATCGGCAAGATTTTCAACATCCTTTCCCAGTTCTTCATGTTTTACGAAACCTCGACTGCGGATACAACATCCACAGTATAATGTGCAATGGGCGTAGTATATTCGTTTATCTGGATATAGGCCCCGAGGTTTCATACAGCACTGACATGCTCTCGCACAGCAACCATCTCGTATCTTACATGCCGAATAAAGATCTTGCCGTAAAAGGTATTTAGTAGGGTTATTGCGAAGGGTTTTACGTATTCGAGAGATAGAAATATTAGATATCCTCTTTGATGGGCCACTAGGCTCGTGCTTATAGACTTCATACCATTTATTTGAGAGAGCCCAGTCTATATAAGTCTGGCTCAATAACTTATCTTGCCAGTCTTTGGGGCCGGAACAATCCAGATCATTAACCTTCTCTAGTTTCCCTTGTATGGCGTATTCAATTATTGTTTCTCGAAGGAATAATTGTCGCTGCATCCATGTATGAGATTTCCTGGCCAAATTACTGATTTCTATGGCCCAGGTTGCTTCTCTCGCACGTTCATCACTGGGCTGGAAAGCTTCGTTTATCTTCCAAGGTATAGTCGAAACCCAATCCCAAAACATCTGCATACGATCAAATAGCATTTCAAAATTCGGCGCGATGCCAAAGAACGCCTTGATGATAAGTATAATGCAGCATCCGGCAAGGAGTAGAGTACGGTCGCTAACAAACCGCAATAAATCTTCAATCATCATTTTGTGAGGTCAGGATGATATGTCCGGGTTATAACAGCTAAAGAGCATGCGGAGTCTTTCTTGGGGTATCGCAATGATAATATTCCTAAATATATTATACGAAGTGAAAAGAAGAGCGAAGGAGAGGAAACAGAGTAGGTCGTCCTTTTATAATAGCATTAGGTTCAGAATCTTACGTCAGGGTGTCGTCATTTTTCCTTTGCTTGTGGGTGACGCAAAGTTCCTCAGACACTTCACAACATACCATCTAGGCCACATCTGGAATAAAGCTTTCCCATGGTTCCGTCTTTCTGGGAAGCCGTAAACGTAAAATTATTGTGGCTTTTCGGCTCCTCGTCGCGGAGGGTTAATTCAAGACAACCGCCTCTAATCGTCAAATGTTCCGCTTAGTCAACTTCCACCTGTATGTTTGAACGGAGATTTCAATTCATGTATTTACACATATTCAAGCTCATCAATATAAACCTTTTATGCTGCGTACTCGCGTGTTGACCGATTCTTTCTCTTCGATTGCAGCTCATATCTGACACAAACACAAAATTAATAATGAAAACTAAATTAACGTTTGAACTAGCTCATACACGTGATGTTACTATATCGAATCTGGTTAGTATATAGATTAGTAATACGCCTAACCTAACTTCCTCCTTCCAAACGACATCTTGACAACGCAACTCTTCTTCACTCTCGACACTCAGTATCAAGCCATAATCCACCTCCATCCATGGCCTCAGATATATTATTCGAAGAAAGGATGACTAATTACATGTTCTTGACCGTTGGCCCTGGTCAGTATTATACCCCAAACAATCCAAATATACCTCAATAGTTTGATTTTGTCTCTTCCTCTTGTTATATATCTTTTACCATCCGAGGGTACTGGACTTGATATCCAACCCATATGTCCCTGTTGGGCCATCCCCCTGACTGTCTGAGGACATCTCGTTAAGGGTAGGCTGAATATACCCACTTCCATTTTGAGCCATAGCCCTCCTTCAAGCATACACTTGGCCAGGAAGATAATGCCAGGTGCCTACCCTAATTGTCTCTCATCGAATACCCTTACTAGTCTGAATGTTTCCCCCTAATGGTAGCCTTAATTTGGCTCCTTGAATATCAGTTATATATACCCTATATACCTTTAACTGGGCAGGCAGAAAGGGATAACTTATCTGGAAGCATTATCTGCCTGTTCAGCCCCTTCATTCGTTTGCTGGTATCTGCCTCAGCGCGGCCTTTCCAGGACTTTTAGACTTATGCTGTTAGTGATAGACCAATGATCAGGGAACGGTTGCCCCCTGAAGACTGCCCAAGTGAATATGTCAGACATGCAGACTCGGACGCAGCAAGCTATGCCATGGGTCTATATCTATACCCTAGGAGGCTTCAGGAGAGAACCCTGAAGTAGTCTACATGTATACTGGCTTTGCTTACGGGGCAGCAGCCAGAGGGACTATGAGGGCCCAGCAGCTCAGCTGTCTATGAACTCCGGGGAAGCAAGATCAGTCCCAATCTTGAAGATGACGACAGCCTTGTCTGCATCTTTGGGGTACTTTTCCAGGTATCTTCCACGAGCAAGAGGCTAGGCCATGGTATTCGGGAGTGCCATAGAACCCTGCCCCATTCCAGGAGTTACCTGTACGATGACGGGTGAATCAACCTCTACCCACAAGAGTAGTCAGTTGGATAACGAACTAAGAAGAGAGAGAAGACGTAGCCCACGAACTTCCGTGTCTGAGCGCAGTATGCAAAGCCTCAATGGCTGTTCTTGGGAACATGTAATAGAGCCTATATCTTTGCTTGCAAGCTGGGTCATGCTTTGATGCTTGCCTGATTATATATGCTAGACTGTTGTTGTGTGCTCTTGTGCGCGAGAGTTAGACTCGGCATCCCCTTCTGTGGGTTGCATTTATCTGTGTCTTCTGTGCTGTGATTCTCCCTCGGAGTTAACCAACTAGTTAAGCTTCTCCTGTCACTTTTCCTTTGAATGGTCAACTATCGAGTACGTAGTAGTAAGTTGGTTGGTGAACGAATTCACAGAAGCTGCCCTGGTTTCAGTATACTCTGGGCCTGGTTAGGGACACGCTCAGGACGCTTAACTAACTACTCGTGGCTACATTTCCTGTATCCACTTCTAACAACAAGCTAACTATGTCCTTAGAAATACGCCCAAATATCATCTCTGGGATCTACGAAAGTAAAAAGAAGAGCGGGTTGGCTGCTTTTCTCTGGAGTTTTCTGTAGTAAAAATATAGCAATTTATTATTTTTCTATTACCAAAAAGAAAAAGAAAGTGTCAATGATATAACGACTCTCTCTGCAGCTAATCAAGAACCTCCCACTTTGGCCCAACGACCGTGTCGGTCTTCCTACCGTATCTAGTATTAGTATAACCATATATTTTTAGACGAATATACGGCTAACTTAGTTTTACTTACTTTCTTTAGTACGCCTTCCTCGCGCCTAACCCGCGGCACTTAGGGGCCAGTGGCGGCCTCGGTGGTGGTGGCTGCGGGATTATAGGAGGAGGGAGCGGGAGCCGGGGTGGTGATGGTGATGTTAGTGGGGAGAAGAGGAGGGGTCCTTCGCCGGCGCCTAGTCAAACGTCAGTGCCATGTCAGGTTAACTATTGTCAGCGGGTCACAACTTACAGAATATCTGCGCCGGCCCGGCCATATGGCCCGAAACAACATCCTAACAGCGCGATTATCGCGCCAAGTACCGCAGCGGCCCCAACTGGGTCAATCACCCGCAGGAAGAAGGGGGGTTGCCATGCGGCTGCGGCGGTCGTCAAAAACTGCCGTCCACACGCCGGCGCCTAGTCAAACGTCAGTGTCATATCAGGTTATTGTCAGCGGGTCACAGCTTACAGAATATCTGCGCCGGCCTGGGCATATGGCCCGAATCAGAGACCTACTAGCGCGATTATCGCACCGCACATCACGGCGGCCCAGGAAGAGGGGAAGGGACGTGGCCAGCGTTGCCGCTTGGTCGGGCCGGGAGCAGAGCTTTCGAATATATATCCATTCGTATTGCTGATGCTGCGGCAGATAATGTTGTTTGTTGCAGCTGTGATGTTGTTCCTGTGATGTTGTTACTGCTGCTCGGACGAGGGAGGAAGAAGAGAAGGAGGCAGTGCGCGTTTGGCAGTCACGGGGTCGCGGGCAGGAAGGGAGAAACAAACGCCTTAACTAGCGATGCCGGCCTCTTAGTTATATCGAGCCACGGACAGTAGATATCCAGTCTTTGACGATCCTGTCGCTCCCGGCCATGCGTGATCGACCATAGGTAACTAAGCTTGTGTGTGAGGCTTTCAGGGGTATATCAGGGGTATATCAGGATATAAAACGGTAGAGTTGGGGCCCAGCGCCGCCTAACGCGAGAAAGTGGATTGATGAAGGAGTTAGAAGAGAAGTTAGGAAATAGTCCTGCGCAGAAGCTTTTTATATTTCCCTTGGGCCTAGTTAACTAAGTGAATCGTTTTGGTAAATTCACGGCCCTGCGGTTGCTTCACCACTCCTTCGTTGGATTTCTTTCAAAACAGTGAATGACTAGGATGATATTAAGCTCTGTCGAATGTGCGAGGCTTTAACTAAGCGAGATGTAACTGACCATTATAAAAACTGACACTAAGTACTACAATAATACATATGAACAGCCTCGAGCATTAAGAAACGAAATGTAGCCAATCATAAACTTCATTGGATAACTAGCTAAGGTTGGATGAGCGTTTAGACAACCAATCAACTCCACGGATGTCTTCGTTATGCTTTGCAGAAAGTGATGCTTATTGGTGGAGTAAGTGAGCATAAATTTACAATAGATATTATTGACCAATAGAAATGCCTCATTAACTAATGGCTAATCAAAGAAAATGGGTGCATCGACTACGACGTCCTTCCTTGCATGGCCTTGGCTCTTCTGGAGTTCGCAATACTAATGAGCAACAATAATGTGAACGCACGCCTCTATTGCAAAGTTGAGTCAGTCCGTCAGTAGCTTGTCAAGTTCATCACCTTCTCCACTCCTGAAAACTGGGCCAGATCATCATCAACGCTATCAGCACGTACACCGTCACACGGCAGTTCTTCATATTCAAACCCAAAGTTCCTCGGGGTCACGATGAATATGAACTGGATATCCTAACAGAATACCACGGCTTTCTCGGGCAATACCTTTCTTCATACTCTGGCCTTGTTGACAGGGAATGGCTTCTGCGCCACCTGACCAATTGGAGCCTTTCCAGTATGCTAGCCGAAGAGGGATTTTGCCGGAGGACAAGGGGTAGTTCATTTTGAAGGGTATGAAGATGGACCCCAGGGATAGGCTGTCAGCAAAAGCGCTTCTCGAAGACTACAGTGGCCAACAACATCGATCGTGGGCTAACTAGTTCTACTGCCAATTCTATATAAGTTGCCTGATATTAAGGTCAGGGATAACTAATTAGTTACCAAGAAGCTGCCGTTAATGCCAAGCAGCGTGCCGAATGAAAACTTCCGCTAACTTAGGCTTGTCTCAGGTTACAATTCTTCCCGCATTAGCTTGAATGTGCTGTCGGCCATCTGCTTAATTTTTCACTTCACAATGTTGACAGAAAAACACCAAACCGTCATCTTAGCTATATGTTTATATCCAACTTGCGGACTGGTTGCTTTTCCACGCCATTGCCCTTCCTGTTACGCTCCTCGAGAGATACCCATTTCACCCAAGCATCATTCATTAGCCATGGCAGGACCAGCTGCGCCTTCACATGCTTTTTGCTATCTCTCATTGTGGTGTGCTTGGCCTGCAGGCTGGGCTCCCGAAGACCCTCTCATGATACCCGTTGTGTACTCTACGCCGGTGATATTATACCCAAGTTATTGACAATGGGAGAAACATTCTGGCTTGGGATTTTATAGGGCATGGGTATATGTGAAGTTCCTGTCAAGGAATTTCAATCTCAGGAACTGCTATAAAACGACTACCTCTCCTTTCCTGATTACTAGAAGAATTTATTCTCTTCTTCAGTCACTCTCTCATACGCTCTTTTGCATTTCCTTGAAAGTCGTTCTCTTTTCCCTTCTTTTTTTTTTTCTCTCGTTTATTGCTCCCCTAACCCTATACACTCATTATGACGGGCTTTTTTACCATTCTCTCCTTTTCTCTGGCGGCATTGTCTGTGACTAATGCCGCACAGATCTTAAGTGTCCCCAAAGGGGCTGAAGTTGTGCCCAATGGCTATATCGTGGTCATGAAAGACGACACCTCTCAACAGGACTTTTCTTCTCACCGCGTCTGGATATCTAGCATCCACCATAATATGACCCGACGTGGCCTTGATGGCGCAGGTGTCAAGCAGACATACGACTTCGACCACCTACGTGGGTACAGTGGTATCTTTGATGAGGACACTATAAAGGATATCTCAAACGATCCAAAGGTATGTGCACGTTCATCGGCTGTTTATTACCACTGCTAGTGTCCAAGTCTTACATTGTACTCATTCAAGGTTGCTTTTGTCGAGCCAGACGCTATCATCTCCCAGCATGTTGTAGTTCAGCAGCGCAAGGCTCCGTGGGGCCTTTCCCGTCTCTCTAACCGCAGAGGAGGTCGCAACTATGTATTCGACAGCTCTGCTGGCTCTGGCGTCTGGGCCTATGTTGTTGATTCGGGTGTAGATGTCCGCCACTCTGAATTCCAGGGCCGTGCTGTTTGGGGCTCGAATCTGGTCGATAACAAGAACTCTGATGGAACCGGACATGGCACCCATGTCGCTGGAACAATTGCTGGCAAAACCTATGGAATTGCAAAGAACGCCAAGGTAGTTGCCGTCAAGGTGCTCAACTCGGAGGGCAAAGGCCCAACTAGTGGTATCATTGCTGGTATCAACTGGAGCATCAGACACGCCCGCAAACATGGCATGCTACAGAAGTCCGTTCTCAATATGTCACTCGGAGGCACATACAGTGCAGGCCTAAACCACGCTACTGCCCAGGCTATCAAGGCTGGCATGTTTGTTTCTGTCTCTGCTGGCAACGATAACGTAAGTGATCACAGTCTCCGTAGAGAGAGGTATATTTGTTAACTCGATGCTTGGGGCCGATAGATCAACTCGAATGGTAATTCTCCAGCTTCTGAAAGATCCGTATGTACCATTGCTGCCAGCACTGAGAATGACGGAAAGGCTTCATTCTCCAACTGGGGCCCTGCCGGTAAGCATACATTGCATTGAATCAATATACGAGATTCGATACTAATGGATTTATGTATAGTTGACCTTTATGCTCCCGGTCACAATATTCTTTCTGCTAGGCCTGGAGGTGGAAGCCAGACTATGTCTGGGACCTCCATGGCAGCCCCTCATGCCGCCGGTGTTGCAGCCTACTTGATTGCAAAGGAGGGTATTCCCGGTAACCGTGCTTGTCTTCGTCTCAAACAGCTCAGTCAGCCTACTATCCGCAATCCTGGACCGGACACGACCAGCCGTCTGCTTTATAATGGTAGTGGCCGTTAATTAGGCAGTATCATTGTTTGACAGTTAAAGTACCATAATCCTTTTGACTGTGCTATCGTCGGGGCCTGGATTTCAACACTTAATACTATTCATTATTTGCATGCAATGATGGCTGTGACAGATAAGCATGCTTTTGTACTAATTAATCAAGGCCATTTAAATATTCAAATCTCATTTTCGTTGTGTAAATATCTCTTCGGAATACTGTGACGTGGTAAATATAAACTGTGGCATCTCGAGTCTTCAAGAACAAGTGATTTTACTAAAGTTTCTGCAGTCCTTAACTAGGGCTTAGTGGTCATTTCATCTCTTTCAAACCGAAGGACGAATGTTTCTTTAGGCTCGGTCGGTCGGCCAACCCGCACCGTTGCCTCCCTGCAGGAATGGTCATAAACTATGTTGAAAAGAGTCTCTCCCCGGCTCTTCCCCTCCAGATACCCGCGGCAAATACCAACGGGATAGTTGTCCTCATCTTCCCAAAGACGAGAGAATTGTTCTTTAGATAGGCTTTCTTTCTGGCTCATAAGCTGCATCATCCTCTCGTATCGAGTAAATGAGTCCGGTAATGGGTTTACCTCCAGTGCGTTGTTGTCGTGGGAAAGAAGGCAATGATTGGTATGAACAAGCCTACCATGAGCATCGGGTACTTGTTGAGCTATATCTGCATGCGAGTACTCAATTCCAAAGGCTTCATCTGCGTTTCCGACCATGATATAGGCGCCAGTAGCCATCCCACCTTGGGAAATAATCCTGTCGTACGCTTCGGTGGGAGATGAGCTTTCCAACGCCATGCGTAGAGCAAGATGTGATGGTAGCCCTGTTGGACGTAGGCCTGGGACATGAAGTGCGTTGTAATTGACAGCAACACCAGCACTGTTAAAGCCAACTTTCCCGATTATGCCTGCTTCTGTGACCATTTTTATGACAGGAAGATCTGGTTGTCTGATAGTAAGCTGGATAAGATTGTTCTTAGATGCGCTGAAGAACTACACGTCGCCATTAGCAGCTTGATTAACTATAACCATACTGTTAAAAGAAAAAGGAATTGGTGATAATAGGAGAGAACCATTAGGGCAGAAACTTACATCCCAATTCTGGCCCTGCAGCGCAGAGCCTTCAGATGTTTTACAGAAGGCACTGGTGCATCCGTCTAGGTGTACAAGGCCATATGCAAGCTCAGTGCGGATATTCAATATAATGATCTCTAAAACCTCTCTTCCAGCACCCTGTGCAATACCTTTTCAATTTTGTTTTGTTAGCACTGATACTATATAAATATACTACTAAAATATTGGACATAAGGTAGCGTACCGCGTATTTCTTCAAAGTACTTCGGCCATCTTTGCTCGATGACCTGTGCCAGATTAGTGGCTACTCTCTGCAATTCCTCTTCCTGCTTCTTTGTGCGTCCACGGATGAGGCCGAGCGAGAACTCGAGAGTGTTGGCAATGACATCTTTGGCAGCACGGCCATGCTGGTAGCCGACCTGTTCTTTGAATTCATTAGTTACTTAGCGTCAAAGGATTGTTACAAAAATATGCAGATATACTAAGATCCGCACCTCAAAGGGGGTTCCCTCGCAGGCAACTCTAAGCATCATGGCGAATATCAACTCTCAAACACGCCTAGCGTAAATGCAAGAGGAAATAGGGAAATGTATGGGGAGCGTAGTTAACCAGTTAACGAGTTAGTTACCTAGACAGTTATATAACTAGGTTGGTTTTGCAGCTACCAACCTTTTTGACAGCCTGTTTAGCTATCAATATAGCCGGCCGCCAGTGTCCAAGGTCCTTCTTGACCCATCAACCGTCCATCCAACTGTACTTTGAGCTGGTCAACCGAGGTAGTGATAAAAGCCGCAGGCGTGGCAAAGGCGGCTCCACAGCGGCGCCCCTGGCCTGGCGAGACCCATTTAACTAACTAATCCGCCGCAGCGGGTCTCTACGCGGACCGCAACCGACCAAGGCGCCCGCATTGCAGAGTAGTAAGATTTTGAACATGACAAAATGGCTAGCCAGAATAGCTCCCAAAATTCCTAGAGCTTGTGCACCCAAGACAGCGAATACGAGGAGTTCGGCTGAGTGACACCCACAGTGGTGCCGGCATGACGACATGACGGCGTGCCGGTCGCATCGGCTGGGGTTGTGGTGGACGTCTTCCAGGTTCTTCAACTTCGTATCCATCCTTGGATCTCCATCATTGTGCGGATTTGGGTGAAATCATAGCCTGTGTTGCATTTAAGCTATATAATTTTCAGATCGTTGCGATAGCTAGTTACATGGCTCGTTAACTCGTTAACTGGCTAACCAAACTTAAAACTAACGCACAATTTTAGGTCTGCCCGTTCTTCTTGATCAAGCCAATCAGACCATCCTGCAAGTACTGGCCATACGGAATAGGCTTCCTGGCTGTCTCGGAGTTCTGAGAGTTGGAGCCTGGGTTCCACGGCTCAACAACGTCATCAAACCCCAGGTTGACAAAGAAGGGAAGGGATTGGCGCTCTGCGTTCACGAATTTGACACGATGAATGGGCGCCGGGTAGAAGTTGTTAGTGATATGGGCCATGTAGCTTCCGCAGTTGACAAGGTATCCGGTGTCGTCAGCTTCGATATCCAGCCAGCCCTCCGGCGTCTGCACCTGTAGGTTTTGAACCTGGGATTGATACAGGACGGTGATAAGGGAAACGTCTTCGTGCCACTCGAAGCTGAGCTTCGTGCCATCACTGGCAGTTTTTATTGCAGGAGCCGGGTAGTCCTCGATATAAGGGTATCTGATAAGGACCACTGAGGACAGCGTATCATGCTTTCGAAAGTGCTTGGTGAAAAAGTCCTCTTCCTTGCCAAGGGCAAGTGCGTAACCACGCAAGAGGGCCGAGGAGAGGCCAAACACATCCCAGTAATACTGCTCGGCAAATTGCCGGAAACCTGGGTGCTTGTCCTCGTCTGGCCAGACATTCACCTCGTGAAACGGTGTGCCCTGCTGAATGCGGGGATGGTCGGAGCTGTAGTTGGGATTGAGATAACAGAATGACTCGACAGCCTTCTTCCCAGGGATGGGCAAATAGTAGCCACTGCGAATCTGCTTTTCGTGTTCTTTATTGTACGCCCGAATGGCGAGCTGCCACTTCTCCTCGTCGGTAATAGAGAGGTGGAATTTCCGGGTCTCCTCCGTGAGGCGATTGACATCGACCCCATGGCCGACTGCGTAGAAGAAACCTGACCCGCGCGAGGCTGCATCAATAGCACGAGCAACTTTCATCTTCTCCGCCATATTATCACCAAATAGGGGAGAGACATTGATTCGAGGAACGTCAGCAACTGGGGTCGTTGACATGATGTCGATACGGTTAACTTGGTGTATCTGAAGAACGAGTATTGTCTCGTCGCTGGAAGGTCGGTCGTTGGTAAGGATGAATTAATTTTAGTGATGAATTTCAGAGTGCAACATCGGGGGGTGCGGTTCACTAAAGTGGAAGAGAAGTCTTTGCATTTTTAAAACAGCCTTCTTACTCCGAGTCTGTGACCGGTGATGCAGATGTTATCCATCGGAAAGATACTACATGAGCCAAGATGTCACATTGAATCAATAAGCAGCATAAACCCCGAGGATCTCGAGTCGATCAGCTAGCCAACTGCATGCAGGCATGTTAACACTCTTCAGAATAATATCGCCGCCGGTGGGCCCTGGGCCCATAGCTATCGTCCATATTTCAGGTTTAACAATACGAGATCTTAATAAAAATCGCACCCTCTGAGAGTCCATGTTGACGTCAGGCTTAACATGGAATGCTATCAGCTGTATATTGGATGAAGTTCAGGTTCGCATGATTCATTGCCTCAAGACTCCGCCCTTGGGGCAAAGGTTAAGAGATGTAACCAAGGAACGCAGGGGTATTTCTTTGACACGAGGAAAATAGCCATCTCAGCTAGGCTTGAAATATAGAGACAGTTTATAGGTCTCTATATTGCTGGTTTCCCCCCCTCCTTTCTAGCTTCAGTATTTCCGAAGTCTTTTCAACTACTACCCCCATATCATAAAATTGTGTTTCAAGCCCAGCTCTATATTTCAAGATGACCATCGAAAACGACATCAAACGACCAAGCAATGATGCTATCACCTTGGAAAATGGCAAAGCTCTGAATTTTCGAAAGAAGATACCTTCGCCCCATGAGAGGATGTACTGCAATGGGAGCCTCGATAAATGGAGGCTCTTTATCAGCCATATTAGTGAACGCTGTGATCTTAGTGGCCTTGCAAAGGCCTGCACTAAATACCAGCTAGCACTAACAGGGTTTTCCGACGTTGATACCCATCGGGAGCGTCAAACTGTAACCGTTGATGTCCCCGAGGAGGTTAACACTGCCCTCAGGGACAGATATATCCGCCAGGGAGGCTCTCTTCGGAGCATCGTGCTGTTTGCAGTGCATCAGATGCTTAGGGGGTTCGGCAATGGATCCCACACAGTCACTGCTTCCATCAGCCCAGATTCGGAACACCGGCTTTCTTGGGAGGTATCCCCTACCATTGTCTCTCACAAAAATCGCGGACAAACGTCAGTCCTCGAGGCCATCAGAAATATCGACATCAGCAATCAGCGGCTACAGTCTTCCAAAGACGAGGAAATCGAAGAAGAAACACAGCCGAATCGGGCATCGAGGTTCGAGGAAGTCGGTAGTGAACTGGAGGGAGGCTGGATGAAGTCGGAGCTCTTCGACTTGCCGGTTGTCTTCGTTAAGGCGCGCTTAGATCACGTGATGCGGCTCTCCAGCATCGACGTCGATTTCCCACTAGCCGTGCTCGTCCATGAAGGGCACAACGATGGAGACCTCCAGCTGGCTGTCCAGTTTTCTACAGCACTCTTTGCTCCTGAGACGATACAAAATTTTACCGATGCGCTGAAAAACCTGCTCGCGGAGGCCTCGACGGGCCCGGGGACCCTAGTCAAGGACATCGACCTGCTCTCGGCGCAGCAAATTCAGCAACTGGATGTTTGGAACAATACCGATGGCGATTACGAGTCTTCTAAGCGCCTCAACCATCTTGTAGAAGATGCTGCACGACACTGCCCGGACAAAGTAGCTGTTGTGTGCGAAGAGCGCGAGCTCACATATGGCGACCTCAACCGCCAAGCGAACTCTCTCGCCAGATATCTCTGCCGCTTCGTGCAGCCAGAGCAACTCATCGGCCTATTTCTCGAGAAGAACGAGCTGCTTATAATCACAATCCTCGCGATTTGGAAGTCGGGAGCTGCTTATGTTCCAATCGACCCTGCTTTCCCCGATGACCGCGTCCGTTTTGTTCTGGATGATACAAAGGCTAATCTCCTCATCGCCAGCGATGCACATGCTGCAAGATTGCAAAAAAACATTACCAGCAATAAAGATATTCAAGTAATCAGGCTTGAGCTACTTCTGAAAGAGTTAACATCTTCGGCGGCCGGTGAGTTCCATGATGGACAAAATCTGGACCACCTGCCTCTTAACAGCAGGCAGCTTGCATACGTGACATATACCTCTGGCACTACCGGCTTCCCAAAAGGCATATTCAAAGAACATACTAGTGTGGTGAATAGTATCACGGATTTGTCTGTCAAGTACGGTGTGGCAGGGTCGCATCATGAGACGATTTTGCTATTTTCTGCTTATGTATTTGAGCCGTTTGTCCGCCAACTGCTCATGGCGTTGGTGAACGGCCATCTTCTCGCCATTATAAGTGACGTGAAAAAATATGATTCCGACTACCTGCTATCCCTCATACAGCGGCACCAGGTTACCTACCTCAACGGCACCGCTTCTGTGTTGCAGGAGTACGACTTCTCCACATGTCCATCATTGAAGCGCATAATCCTCGTTGGTGAGAATCTGACGGCTGCACGATATGACTCACTTCGCCAGAGATTTAAGGGAACAATTTTGAACGAATATGGATTTACCGAGTCAGCCTTTGTGTCTGCCTTGAACATATTTGAGCCTCATTCCAAACGAGAAAATACCAGTCTCGGACGCCCGGTTAGGAATGTAAAGTGTTATATTCTCAGCCAGGAGCTAAAGCGAACTCCTATTGGAGTAACGGGTGAATTGCACATCGGTGGGTTGGGTATTTCACGAGGGTATTTGAATCGCCCCGACCTGACCCCGTTCAAATTTATTCCCAATCCTTTCCAGACGAGAAGAGAGAAAGAGCTCGGTATTAATCGCTTAATGTACAAAACTGGTGACTTGGCCAGATGGCTACCCAACGGTGAGGTGGAATATCTTGGACGTGCAGATTTCCAGATCAAATTACGCGGCATCCGAATCGAGCCGGGAGAGATCGAATCGACGCTTTCTATGTATCCCAATATTCGAACAAGCCTAGTAGTGTCCAGAAAACTCAGATCAAGAGGTGAAGAGACTGCCAATGAACATTTAGTAGGGTACTATGTGTGCCAAGATAATGTGGAAGTGGTTCCTGAGGAGAGTCTGTTGGCATTTCTAGAAACAAAGCTACCCAGATACATGGTCCCATCACGTCTGGTCCACCTCGAATATATTCCTGTGAATATTAACGGTAAAGCTGACCTGAAAGCCTTACCCGTGGTTGATTTATCAAGACCAGCTAAGGGTGCCTTAAATAATTTGGGACACCAAACGGAAATTGACCTACAAAAGATTTGGAGTGATGTTCTCGGTGTCGGAAATGATTCCATATCGCCCGAGGATAGTTTCTTTCGCTTAGGAGGGCATAGTATCAGTTGTATTCAGCTGATTGCACGGATCCGACAACAGTTTTCTGTCAGCATTTCTGTGGAGGACATCTTTGCAATGAAAACCCTTAGCCGCATGGCTGCATTCCTACGCAAGAAGCAGAGCGAAATCGAGGCTAGCTGTACAACTGATATTGCTACACTATCAAGCGCCTCTTTAAGTTTTCCTGTCCTTTCGGGGAGTAACAGCACTTGTTACCTTGCCAATAGTCTTCAGCAAGGTTTTATATACCACTACCTAAAAAATAAGGAGCCTTCTGGAACATACATTATGCAATCTCTTTTGCGGTATGATACTGAATTGCGGCCCGATGTTTTTCAGAAGGCCTGGAAACTTACGCAACATGCATTTCCAGCACTGAGGCTCCGATTTTTGTGGGAGAAGGATGTATTTCAAATTATTGACCAAGATCAGCCTCTTAATTTCCGATTCTTCTCTTCTGATAGGGATCTGGAGGGCTTATCTAGCGAGGATAAGCTTCAGAATCTACAAAAACAAGATCTACGGGAAGATTACAAGCTAGATGCTGGGGAACTCTTTCGGGTGTACATGATAAAGCATGATGACCAACATTTCTCCTCCCTCTTTAGCTGCCATCATGCTATTCTCGATGGGTGGAGCCTGCCTTTACTCTTCCAGCATGTCCATGAGGAGTATCTCCGCCTTATCAAAGGCGGCCACTTTCATTTTGATACCCCTATTGATAAAGCGTACGGACACAGTCAGAACTTTCTTCAAATGAATCGTGATACTCACCTTGAATACTGGTCTGGTGTAGTTGAACAAATCACGGAACGCTGCGATATGAATGTCCTTCTGAATGAGCAGAGTAGATACAAGATACCTCTCGCAAACTACGATCAGGTCCGAGATCAGCGCCAGCAGACCTTACATCTTGATGGCGATATGCACCTGAGAAATATCCATGATGCATGCTCTGAGCGGGGAATCACTTTACACTCTATCCTTCAGTTCATCTGGCACACCATTCTCCACAAGTATGGTGGCGGAAGCCATACGGTTACGGGAACAACAATCTCTGGCCGCAATCTACCTGTCGAAGGCATTGAACACTCTGTCGGACTCTATATAAACACCCTGCCCTTAGTGCTAGATCACACTGAGTACAAAAATAAGAGCGTCCTGGATGCAATGTCTGATGTTCAGGCCAAGGTCAACGCGATGAATACACGGGGGCATGTTGAGCTGGGCCGTTTGTATAAAAGTAACCTGAAACACGGACTCTTTGACACTCTGTTTGTCTTTGAAAGCTATCCAGCCTTGGATAGGGTGAAAGAACTCCAGCATCAAGAAGCTTTACACTATTCCATTCAAGGAAATATGGAAAAATTGAACTATCCTCTCACAGCTATAGTTCAGGATATCAACACTGCTGCCATAGACACGCTTACATTTACTATCTGCTATGCCAGTGAACTTTTTGATACACCCACGATCCTAGAGTTATTGTCAATGGTACAAGATACCATTAAGCAGATATCAAGCAACCTTACCCGACCAGCCAATAGCTTGGAGTATCTCTCTTTAGCTCAGGTCAATCAATTGGCTGAATGGAATGCAACTGAA